GAAATTCTGGAATATCTTTTAAAGATTTGTAAGGAAACAGAAGAAAATCAATGCTAATTCAAAATAAATAGAAGCAGAGATGTAAGATGGCTGGAGAAAATAGTGCCAAAGCCACTTCATGTTTTCACATTAGTACCTGGGTACTAACGCCATGTTCCTCTCTTGGTGAGGAATGTTACCCATTCCGGTTTTAATCGATCAGTAAGAGATGGAGACCTTGTGACTCCAATGGACAATGGTGTAAATGACTTGGAAATGTAAATCTTGTTAATTATGTTATTTACTTATCTCCCTACACTGTCAGTTTGGGCAGGCATATACACCTACCAGACAAAGTCCTAATAGCTAAGCATTCAGCCTTGCTGAGAGTCATTCTCCCTCACTGAGATCTTCTACAAATGGTGTCATGCACCTCCAGATTCAGCTGTGATTCTGTGTGTGCTGTAAAAAAATCCCATAGCTTCTTGCAGAATTGCAAGTTTTGTCACAGAATTTGTGCTCATTGCAGCACAGGTTGCATGCAACCTGCATGCAGTGGGAGGGCAGTGCAGATTATAGATTCAATTCAGAGATGGATGCAGGAGATCACACGCTGTTACAACCAGAGCTATAGTACTCCCACCGCTGTCTGACTAATCTCCGTGTAAATTAAAAGTATATGTTACTAGCATCAAGTAACAACTGAAAAAACATTTTTCAGAAAAAAAAACAACAGAAGAAAAACATGGACAGAAATTTTGTAACTGAAATTTCTATTCAGAAGTATACAAAGGATATCTCCTATCAAGTGCTCAGCTTCAGAGGCTCAGCAAAATCTTGGACTGCAACTACTCACCACATTATATCACTGCCTTGATCTAATAAGCAACTACATTAATACCAGCTGTGTAGATAGAGGAAAGAAATATGAATATGTTCATTAAGCATTATGGCCCCACTTATCTCCCTCATGACTTCAGTGGAGATGTGCCAATTCATGCATGATGCAATTATGGTCCCCAATATCAAACCTGAAAGAAAAGCAGTGAGGGTGTCAGTGCAAATTCTTACAAATTTCCCTGTCGTGAAACCTCAACTGCTGGAGGATGCATTCACTCGTATTTGGATGATTAGAAGTGAAATACTTAGTTCAATGAGTCTAGCAAGTTGAAAATCAATTTGCTTCCCACACACATTTCACTGTGCTCATTTGTGTCATCTCCTCATGTTCAGTAATTGGTTCACAACTCTTATTCACAAATTCCCTTGCACACAGAGATTAAACAAAACACAGAGCCAACATCCCAGTTCAACAGAGCACTTGCACATAAATGTTCCTAGAGGAATCAAGCTTTGACTTCAGTACATGCTTTCATGCTTCACCAAATCAAGGGCCAGTTTAATAAAATCTTAATAACCAAATGATCAAAACAGTTGCTTTAAACAAGAGATGACTAAGTGCCTCTAAAGCTTTGCATACATATGGAATAATAATTATGGTATTTACAAAGGAGTCAAATGGAGTTAAGCACTCGTATCCCTCGGAAAGTCAATGTGAGTGTAAAATGTTTGGACTACAGTCAGCTAACATTTGCCTACCACCATGTCAGCAGTAACACAGTGCTGCAGAAGTATGAGAGAAAAACACAATCATTAGCTTACTGAAAAAAAAAAAATACCGCAGCAAAATAAATGTTGTTTTCACACATCTGTCTTTTCTACTTCCCTTTGCCTCCCAGAACGTGGGAGTTCACAACCTAAAAACAAACATTAGGAAACCAGGAAATCTCAGTGGTGATCTCCACATATACCACCCTAAGAGCAGTGGACATGCAACAAAACACGAACCACAAACTTAGGAAAAAATACAGCTCACTTAGCACCTCCCTGGAACAAGACCACACCATGCAAGACCTAGTCCCTGAAAAATTTGTCCTTACGAGACACTTTGGAGAAACTAATGCTTCCTTCTTATACTGCTCTGAAAAAGAATCAAGGCTGGCAAAGCAGAGAAAAAACACCTTTTCCGACAGTAGAGTCCACAGGGCAGGGCACAGCTGCTTCCAACACAGGACTCCCATTCCCTGTCCCCTTTACGCCATTCATTTGCTATAAAAGGCCAAGAATTCATTGCAATTCCCCTGGCCCAGGGATACTCCTTGCAGGCACGCACTTGCTAAAGGGAGGTGATGAGCCAGATATCACTCAAATTAGGCCAAAACCATTCTGAACAGGGACCCACTACAGATAATTTTCACTGGCAAAACCTAGCATGGTACACAGCTGAGATTACAGTCAGCCTCTGGGATGCAGGGAACAGGCTATGCAGTGGAGCTGCACAAAGCAACCAGCCAGCCAGATCTCCACCTACAACTCAGGCTAGTCAGGTCCTACCTCCGCCACGAGACTGCTAAAGGCTGCCAGCTTGTGGTGTGTCTGCGATACGGGAATTGTCTGCAAGTTCCGTACAGAAACCCCCAAACTATTGCTCAGGTGCTGCTCATGGAGCATGACCAGCTTTTGCCATGGCTTCCCACTCAAGTTTTGATTCATCAGTCTGTAGCGTCTGGATATTCTTTTCCCTGACTCCTGATACTGCATCCCTGTGACAGGCTCAGAAATTCCATAGCACAGAGCCATGGTTTTCAAACTCTCAATTTGCAGGCCCCATTTCCTCCATACAACTTGCAGTTTACTGCCACTGACCTTTTTTTTTTTTTTTTTTTTTTTAAAGCGTCTGGATATTCTTTTCCCTGACTCCTGATACTGCATCCCTGTGACAGGCTCAGAAATTCCATAGCACAGAGCCATGGTTTTCAAACTCTCAATTTGCAGGCCCCATTTCCTCCATACAACTTGCAGTTTACTGCCACTGACCTTTTTTTTTTTTTTTTTTTATCTTAGAAGCAGTCCACAAGCCATCAGATGGAAAACTAACACACAGAACTGCTGACCTGTCAGCTAGGTCTTAACTCTAAAGAAACCAGGAAAATTTTCTGCACCTTTTCTACCCTTAGTTACTTTTATAGTCCCCCAAAACAATTAAGTACAGCAGCATTTAGGTCTTTCTTCTTTCAAATGTTATTTCCCAAATACTTAACATAAATTTTTAGGCTGCTACATCCTCTATATCATGTTATCACCACAGCTGGCAAACCAGTTTGCATGTTCCCTCTGTCAGGAAAGGTTATAGCTGTAAACAGAAACTCTTATTAGAGCCAAAAGGCACTTTTCTTCTGTACAGTTAGGGCATCAGGTACTCCTAACAATGCAAAAATCAAGGGACTACAGCTGCTGCTGCACAAATGCCTGCCTCACATGCTATAGCTCTCACACTTGCAGCACACTATTTAAGCTCTGTCTCTGTGCCATCTTTCAGACCTGCATGATTGCCCAGCTTGAGGTCTTACAGATCTTTTCTCATCCATTTGTATTCCCAAAAATTTTCTTCCCTTATATAGCAATTGTTTCCTAACTCCATCTCCAGTGTTTTACTTGTGAAGCATTGAAGCAAAAGGTTCTGTTTTTTCCCAAATTTGACTGCAAACTTTACATAGTCAAAACAAAACATTATTCACACGGGAAACTTCAAAAACACATTTTCAATTCTTTATTTTCTACTGGGTTAACAGCCCACTCCAATAAAACAATAAAACAGTCCGCTCCCCCCAAAAAAAGAGCAAGTTCCTCAATTCTCAGTGTACCTTTTGAAATGTTCTGGAACTGGAGAATAGTGAAATACACAACAGCAATACCATAACTTATAAAAAACTTAATTCAATATGACCGAACCATTCCAAGATTCATCCTCTTATTCTCTAACCTTTTACAAATTTCTAGATTGCACATCCTCATTAACACAGGACTCTCTTTATACCTGACTCTTTGCTTTCTTATCACTCACAAAATCTTAATTCAAAGTACATACCTATGCTGAGAACCTAGGACCAACAACCCCCCATGAAAGCCTTCAGGTTTTTCAGTAATACAGAACCTTCAGCAATAACTTAAAATTCATACCTTCACCTTGGTTGTGTATTCACGCAGCACTCTCTTCCATAAGGACTCCCCCAGCACTGAGCTGAACAGCTGCTAGTTGTGTAACAAATACATAATGCACTTCACCTGTTACTACCTTGATTTTTTTTCTCCTTAAGGGAGAAGTTTGCCCATTTACAGGATCCACTTTGGCAAAGTCCCAACATGTTCAATGCTATCGAAGTACAGGCCAAGAAAACTGCCCCAGCTTCACAGAGTTTAGAAAGGAACAGGAAACCTTAAAAGCGTCACGGAAAGAGCGTAATTTTAGTTATCGTAAGAGAGTGGTCAGCAGAAGCCTATATTGAGCTCGATCTCAGTAATCTAGCAAACAAATTCTTAACTGTGTAGCTTTGTGTAAATTTCTTTAGCATGGAAAAACCACATACAGTAACTTAAAAGGTGTGACAGCACCGTCAGTACAGGGACAAGGGTGATGATCTTCGCGAGACAGAGAGATGCAAACAGCCCTAGAAGTGGTAACTTGTGCTTCATGCAACAATGAAGGGAAACCCAATATGCTTCTGAGGGCTCTTGTCCTTAAGCAGTACAACAGACTGACCTAACAGCAGGACTGATGACAAGACCCAGCTGGACGAGCAGGTGGTAGCATGGACAATGGTGATCCGAGATGAACCGCATCCACAAGAGGAGAGCGCTCCCCTGGCCTGTGGAGTCAGAGCCACACGCTGAAGGAGGACACTAAGGGAAGAAATACTTATAACTGAGGGATCAGATGGGTCATCAACACGGATGCTGAGGGATGAATGTGAATGACTGGAAGTGTGCCAAAAACCAGTGCTGACAAAGAGAAGTGATGGTGAGAAGCTGAGAGGATGAAGCAGGAGTGCACACACACACAAAGAGAGAAAAAACCCAGGATAAAGTGGTATAAAGGAGGCTATAAGGCCTGGAAGTGACAAACACTTGCACAGTCTGAAACCAAGATAAGAAACAAGAAAGGAAAGCCTCAGTAGGAGGGCAGCTGTGGCAAAAACACATTCAGGTCTGCAAGATACTCAAGTGACTGAGGTATGTAGAAGGTGCCCAGGTGCACAGCTGGTATTTAAATGGAGTTACAGAAAGCAAGAGAAGATAGCAATGGCAGGAGGATGTGTGACACGTGGCAGAAGTTTAAATGCAGATACAGGGAGCAATAAGTCATATGAAAGGGAATGGGTGGTGCAGGGATGCAGAATATGAATTTGCTTTAGTGACATAAGGAAAAGGGAAGAGCAGACAGCTGATGAAAAACCAATGAACAATGAGAACAAGAAAGCTGTGAGAGGAAAGGGTACAGGAACGAGGCACCACAGATGAGCTAGTCAAAAAATAACACCTATTAGCTTAGCAGCAGTTCCAGCTGTCAGACTGCATTGCCAGTGTGGACTGTGCCACAGGCACTACCTGGGAGAGCTTGCGGAGCGTTTGGGAGAGAGTTACTGCCTGCTAGTAAAGTGCTGTATGCGCTCAAGAAGGGGCAGAGACTTTCATCCCCCATTTCTAGATGACATCATGCAGTTCTTTGAAACATCTGGAGCACCCTTGGTTTCCAGAGACACCACTCCTCCAGGAATATGTACGCATCCAGGGAGAGCACACACTGCCGCTGCAGCGTCTCGGAAAACAGCTGTTACCAGGCTATGCAAGGAATCTCTGAGGTTTTGTCTTCTTTCTAAAAAACTAAACTTTCTGAACTCCTACTAGGGCTGGAATATCCTAGTTGACAGTGGAATATCATTGTGAAATATTTCTCAGGTGTTCCTTATCTTTCAAAATTCATATAAAAGGCAGAAAAGGTTATTGTAAAGAAGAAATGTTTTTTTATCTTCAAAGAACAGCTAAAACTGCAAAATACACAGAATATTTTCTCCAAGAAAACCAGAGGGTGGAACTCTTAATTTACAGTATCAGACTATGAAAAAATAGTATTCCAAAGTACGAAAGCAGTGTACAAAAATATGGAAAAAACACCAAGACCTTTAATAAAAATACTGAAGTCTTCAGATTAACTTGATCTCTTTATGTGCTTTCAAAAATGGAACAGCAGAGTCCCTTAAAGCCCAAACAGAATTTGAGTTACAAAATAACTTGAAATTCTTAACCTATTTATTACAACATAAGGGCAGAAAGTGTTATTTTAAGGTGCAGGCACAGAAACAAGTTCTCATGTGACAAGAAGTTAACTTACAGCCTATCACGTATTTATTGTAGCTGTCTGGGCATGTATTTTCACTGTACGGTAAAAGCAAGCTAATCTTAAACAGATAAAGGAAGTATCTCACATTTATACAAGACAAGAGCTTTCATACGTGCGAGCAGTTCACAGGCATCTTAGCTGACTTAATGGACATGTGTGCTGATGCCCTTTGCAATCACATTTCTGCGCAGAAGAAAATTTCTCTTGTAGATGACTCATCATAGCCTGCAAAAGTATATTAAAGAGCTCACTTTGCTGTAGCTGAAAACTATGGGGCATTCCACAAGGATTAACTGCCCAAAGTGCTCAAAACAGTCCCCAAATAACACTGGGGTTATCACTTAATAACACTTATATTTATGAGGTTTATATTGAACCCTTCCAATAGCTGTAATGTTAAAATTTTAAGAAAAAAACTGACTAGATCAAGCATTCTCAATATCCATGTTTGGGTTTTAAGAAGTACTGCATAAAGATCAGTTACGTGGCTCATCCTCAGACATCCCTTCTTGAATTCAGTCCTCTGCTGAAAAATAATCTTCATCTCTCACTTCTCTGTATTGCATCAAGGCCTCCCCCTCTGGTTCAAACCTGAGCATTTTTATATTCAATCTCTCTGCAAGCTTCTGTGCTGCAAGCTTGGCTTGCATTTCCTATGTAAAAGGAAAAAAAAAAAAGGACACAAGTTAGGAAAAATGCTCATTTGTCATTTTTATCCTGGTAATGAAAGAGCTAAAGTATAAGATTGACATAATAATATTAGTAATTCTAGAGTGGGCTTAATTAAAAGTTTTAGTAACTAGCAAATAAATTTCAGGCTTCTTTTCACACTCGGATATAACTGTGCTATTAATATTTGAAGAAATTCCCCATGTGGCAGTCCTCACTTGTACATACTAATGTCAGCTTTAACAGAACAAAATCAGTTCACTTAAGAGAGCAGCTGTGCACAGTAACCACATAGCAACAGCAATGCTTGTCATTCACCAACCTCTGCAAAAAATCTGTCCTCATTTTCCAAATACATTACCTCCCTTAAAGTGCCAAGATGAGTAAATTAGCAAGTGCTTTTAAAATAATAACCAGCAACAGTTTTACAATAGCATCTAATTTAAACATAGCTTGGCACTAGCTGGCAAGTCAAAATCAAAACGCATTACAACAGCATGTAAGGAACCTCAGAACTCGGATTCTTCAGGCACAGCATAAATAAAAGTGAATGCAGATATTTGCATATTTTAAGAATAACAAATACTGCTAGGCCTTCATTTATGCAAGGGCTAAAAAAGCCTTTGAAGACTAACAGGCAAGGTATACATTTAAATTTCTAGTCCGAGGTGAAGTGAGTGCAATGAGGTTAGCACAATCAACACACAAATAACACTAGGTTTTGTTTAATGCAGGAATTAAAGGAGTTTCAGAAGGGATTAATACATTATTTAATTGTATCATTAAAAGAATCAAATACAAGAAAAAGTGCCTCAAAGCCTGCCCATCTCAATTTCATTATCAAATTCATCAGTATGAAAAGATTCCTTTATGATTGCTTTTTTAGGAGTGGTCCCAATTATATACTTATTTTTCAGACCAAATCTTCAATTCCTACCTCATAAGCTTCTTTTTGCTGTATCTGAATTGCTATGGACTCCTCTATGGATAATAGCTTAGCAGGGGAATGGTAAAGCGGTGGCAGCCGAGCTGCTGTGATGTCATTTAAATGTTTCTTATCTCTAAGTCGCCTTTCTTCAGTAGTAATTGGAGAGCCAAATCCCCCAGGTGATTGACTGGATGAGGAACCATGTGATGATCCACTTTGCTCTCCTGATAATCTGGAAGAGATAAAACATAAAAGTTGTGACCCAAATTTGCAGCACAAGGTTGAACACCTTGAGTTCCAAAACTTCTTATTTTCAACATTAAGAGTTGAAAAGAAATCTGAAGTGTTATGACACCATAAAAAAATAAAAAATAAGCAGTGCTCAGAAAAACGAAAAAGATTTCTATGCAGAGAGGCAATATGACAAGTTACTCTAGACAGTGAACAAAAAAGGTATGCCAATTAGTTAGCAAGCATGAAATAGCAACGCTTTGGGAGTCACACGAAATATGAACTGGTACCACTACCAGTACAGACAATGTGAATTGTAATTTTTCTAGAGGTGCAGGAAAAGCAAAAGGCTGCCTGCTATTAAAGTTCTACAAGTTCTAGAATAGATCCACGAGAAAGCGTTGCCAATTGTTTAATAGTTTCGGAGCTTAAGCTATGAAACTCTATGAAGATTCATGACAACTGTTTCACCACTCAACATTGAGACTCTGTGGCACTTAATGCTAAAAAGCCAATATATTAACCTCACATGCCATAGGACTTTAAAACTCTTTCATTGGCACAAGAAAATAAACCCACCATGCTTATTCTGTACCATTTCCAATTTTGTACAAGTCAAATTATTTCACAAAGTGTTTTCCTATTCCATCATACTTACACATTTGTTTTAAATTTGCTTTTTTTTATGACTGGGTTCTTGGCTCTAGACTCTAGAACTTCAATATAATGTGGTATCTTGGGGTGCCGGCTTCCAAAGATATTGCCCTTATGTTTAGCCACATTCTCATCTTTTTCCAATACTTTTTCATCACTGTTATTGCCATCTACAATTGTAACTTTTTGAAAGGCATCAACCAACGCGTCACTACTGTTGTCCAAAGCAGCTGTACTTTCTGCACCAACCTCAGCATTGCTCTGAGATACCTGCTGATCATTTGTCAGATGACTGCTTGTGGCTGACTTGGAGACGACTTCACAAAGTTTCTGATCTTTTGTAACAGTCTTGTCTTTATCATTTTTCCTCTGAGTCCTTTGATTTTCTAGAGCTGTATTTGTGGCATCTTGCTCAATACATTCTACCTCCTGCCTTTGGGAAGAAATCTCAGAAGCTTCTTTAATATTAGAGTTGTCATTAAAGACTGTGGAATCTTTACAGTTTAGCGTGTCCTCGTTTAGGATAACTTGCTGTTTGCTTGTATTAATCTCTTCCTGTTTCACCTGAAACTCCAACCTGACAGCAGATAACAGCTCAGCCGTCCTTGCTAATTCTTCCTCTTGTAAAATAGCAAGCGTCAGCTTTTCAGCAAAATCAGAGATCTTCTTACCCTTATCTGGAAGCCTAGCAATGAATTTCCTAAGACAAAACAAAATAAAAATATTTAACAAGGTATAAAAAATCCTATTGCAATCTGATATAGAGAACTGTTTTATTAGAATAGTTAAGGTGGCAGGTTTCTCATCCCAACATTAAGTTTCTTATTTCAATACTAGACTTCTGAACAGTGGTAAGACACAAAGCACTTGCAGTCTCAGACGTATACTGTAATAAAGCAGCTACATTTTTTTTCTGCTCAAAGTTGGAACTGCTGCTCTGAAAAGCGCAGAGGGCAAATTTCGTTTAGTATTTTCATCAAAGCGGAGTGCACAGACTTTTTTGTCCATATCCCCAGAAATAACCATACCGTTGTTACTGTGAACGCCCACAGGCTGTAAAACCACACAAGCCGCGCAATTTGAACG